GGGGCTCAATAATCACCGAAAAAAGTTTGATGCAACCATGTGACTTATACCATCAATACATGTGCTCAAAAATGCCAGTTGCAACAAGAGCAAAAACCGTTGGCAAGCCTACAAACAGTACTCCACAGTTTTACTTTGACAGAAGAACGGAAAGACTCGCCTTTGTAACATGTTCCTGTTCTTCCTCCTCAAAGCGCTTCTCTCCATCCTTCCTCTCATCCTCCTGGTCGCTGTGGTAGTCCTCCAGCACCAGCTCCTCGTCCTGTCCTCCCTCTCCCTCCACCTTGTCCAAAGCCTCCAGTTCCTCCCTGCAGGCCCTCTTCAAGTCAGACGATGCTCCAGTCATCAGTGAATCAAACTCGTCTTCCAGAAGGTTCTTCAACTTCTCAGAACAGAACACAACGCTTGTTAATTCCAAGGTCATTGTCAATAGTTTAGTTTTACAGTGTGGTCAAAATTTCATGGCGCTACCTCGTGTCATATATCCCCTCAAATATAGAACATAGACTCCCCAACTTTTGCACAACGACTTGTATCATTCTGTCTCAACAGATCAATATTTTTTAAACACTTGTACGCTGCATTCTAGAAAATTCCTTGGTAAATACCAGTGAAAAATCCCAGGGGTGGTGTCTACATATTTTAAAAGGTTTACAAGTGAGAAATATTTAATAAAGGTCTCTCTAATTGACTTATGGGTATCATTCTCATTATTGTTTGCCAATCCTGTTTTGAAAGTTCACCACTGTTCTTCAGCATGGGTAATACAAGAAAGAAAAAAAAAACACGTATTTTCTGACATGATAAAAACGTACTTTTGCACTAAGCCTCTCAAAAACATCAAATATGTCTTTATATGTAGGCCCTACTGTTTGACAGCTACGCATTTGAAAGGTTCACTTAATTAATCAGAAAAAATCCAGTGAGCACTGAGCTAGGTGAAAGACAGACGGCGAAGTAATTTGATGTACCTTTCGTTTTTTCCCAACGGGAATCGAACCTTGCATCTCTCGGAGCTTGGCTTCCCTCTTCTGTATGTGTTCTTGCTCCGCCTGAGGGAACATTCCACAATCTTTTGTCACTCACAGACAGACAAACATGATCAAATGCAGGCTTGCAAACTGTTTCAAAACCCAAATCAGGGACATCACATCCAAAGTTACAACATAAAGATTACGTATCAGCAGACAAAATTACATCAAGTGGGACTGGTTTTGTGTAGTGTATGTAATGTCTTTTAAAATTCCAGATTGCTGAATCTGAGACCATTCAGATAAATTTGGGACATTTGTTAATCCTGCAAATTATATGAAAAACAATCAGCCTCTTTTGTCCACCAAACGCTCTATTTCTATTCTAATCTCGTCAGAAAATACAGACAGTCGAAAAAATCCAAGACGGCCATCCTTTGTTGAGGAGAAAGGTGTTTGCCCCAGACAGGTGGACATCTTGAAGAATGCCATTGTTTCATTATAATATTTTTTTAATGAAAAGGGTGGGGGTG